GGGGGGGGGGGGGGGGGGGGGGGGGGGGGGGGGGGGGGGGGGGGCGCCGAAGGAAAACAGGAAAACGAATGAGGACCAACATTATAACGGGTCAACTCGAGAAAAAACAGCTCAAACGGGGCAAAACGAAGTGTGAACACATGCTGTTAAACAGACACCATCTCCAGGATGTTGAGCCACAACACATGCGTCCGTATCCTCTACACAGCATTCGTTCCCCGCTGATTCAACGACAAAAGGTACGGGACGACACCCCTAGCTTTGGTGGAAATAGTCAGGTGCCAATATCACCCCGCGAAACACAACAAGCGGAACGCCCGACGGCAACAGCAGCAACAGCATCAACAAACGCAGCGCAGATTTTTTCTCACTTCGCGGCCGTGCTGTGCCCGCCGTCGAGGGGGTTCATGATGCACTTGACCTCCTTGATTGTGGGCATGAGCTTCTTCATGACTCTCGTGTTAGCCTTGAAGACCGAAGTCCCCTTCGCGAGGCCCCACACTGGAACGCTCATGGTACAGTGCGCCACTCTGAGAGACAGGGGGGTCGGTGGTTGGGAGACGCGATAGGGGCGGATGAGAGTCGGAACAGGTGATTCATCGAAAGAAGGCACATATTGGAAACAAGGGAAACAAAGGATTCAGAAAACCACCACCACAAACGCCATATATACAGCTCAAACGGAGAATCACGGCCCCAGGAAGTCAGACATATCGTAGGAGGACGGCCGTGAAGGAAACCTTGCATTGTAAATAAAATATTGTCGAGAATCAGACGTTGAGGAGTTTCCGCAGGTACATAGGATTGGCGCTTGGATTTGCAATGAGCGACCGAGAGTTGATCGTAGCAAGAACCGAAGGACGTTGATTTCTAATTCGTCCTGCGACCCTGGCGGGTGCGTCGACCACGATGGGTACTGAAAGCAAACACGCTCGCAAAGAGCACTTGGTCGACTATTGGTACAGCAGTACCCGGGTGGACGGGACGAGACCAAAGAAAGGTCAAAGACAGCATGTTAAATTAGCACCGCCATCTCCAGTCAACTTTCTGATCGAGGGAGGACTCCAAGACCGAAACGAGCGACGAGGCGGTGCTGCTGTACAGAACAGGCCCGCAATAAAAAAAAATTCTGTTGAGAAAAGAAAGCTCAAATGATTACGAAAAATTAGGAGAAAGGGATAAGAAACTCAGCTGTCTCGGCAACGGCATAAGAAACGTCGCAATAAGAAACATGATCGAACGATACTCCGAGACAAAAAAACAACGGATAGCTGAGGAAGCGTGTCCAATACGAAACGTCCCACTGCTGCTGCCAGCTCCCACCACAACCTGTGCTAGCTCATCATGCAATGTTTTGGTAGGGGGGGAGAGTGGATATTTTCGCGTCGCCCCCCGGGCCCCGGGGCTGCGCTACCCACTGGTGTTGTACTGCGGTAGTGCCACAAATCACGGGAATCACGAAGTTCAGGAAGGCGACAACCCCAGTCACCACCGAGCTGTCGAATGCTGCATGAAAAGGGTTGGCGTGTTGATGATTTCGTCGCAGATATAAAGAAAATAAGAGAAATGAGAGCACAGGATGATGCGGCAGCCCAACGGAAATAAGAACTCCGTTTTAAGAACTTGGCCTACCTGCGGCTGGCGCTTCGGCAACGTTTCTTATCTCCGGGCCAGTTCTGTAGACACAAGGCACTGCACAAATGTACCCGTGCTGCAAAGGTATGCTACTGCAAGCACTTGGCAAGACGCATATGATTACGGTCGGCGGGCGGAACAGAAAAACGCAACCACAATCAAAACACGTGCTGCCCAAAGCGTGGAATTCTGCTGCAATGTGTACTGTACCCGGAGCCGCTCCCTGGTACAAGTTTTATAGATAGGCTTACCTTACCGGTCTCGTTGCAGACGGCAGGCGGCGGCGGCGGCGGAGGTTCGACAAGTTTTGTGGTAGAGAACAACAATAGTATATGCGATAAGGACTAACAACGGTAGCGTGAGACAGGAATGGTGACCGCAGTGTCGTGATGGGCACGTCACACATGTACAGATATTTGCTTGCCCTCCAGCAGATACCGCAGGTCCGAAGACCGAAGTACACTCAGCAATCTACAACTGCCGCAACATCTTGTTCACAACGAGAGCACGCTGTGGAGATATCATATCCTCACGCCCCGGAAACAACGCGAAATCACTCAGCAATCGCACCTCTTGACCAACCGGAAGGATAAAACACTTGAGAATCTGTCCCGCCAAGGCCACAAAGCACAGGTTGACGACGCACAGGGATACTTGGTCCCCGCTACTGCAGCAGAGCGGAGAGAGAGAGCAGAGCGTCTCTCCAGTAGGGGGACGGCAGAGGAGAGTCATTAGGGTACGTGCACGTGGGCCCTAATGATACCGGGGGCATCTGCTCAACCATTAGATCCGCTAATCCGTTCTTCGTGGTGAACAGCAGGAGTAGGCTCACAGCCCACACACGCCGGGCGGATTTTCGACGCGTTCGTCAGCATTGCCGGCGACAGGAGGAACTGATGCGACCTCGTCGCATGACGAGGGCTCTTAAAACTTGACCGACAGGGGCTGTCTACAGCTGGAAGTCAGCCATATAGGTAGGCATATGATACTTCACATCGCTTTTCTTCGATACAGCACTATTTTAGAGCTTACCGCAGTCGAACTATCCTTCCCGCCAGCTGTGAACCTGCGTGTGTTGGGTGCGTCTGCCGCTACTGTTGAGGAGGATGGTGTGAGTGCAGCTCCCCTCGTTGCAGCTCCACCCCCTGCGCTAGGTTGAGGAGAGTGGTGACTGGCTGCGCATCATGCAGCTGCTGTGTCCGACACCTCCCCCGCCCAAAGGCAACGCCAGTTGAATTACTTGCAGGAGGTTCCTCTCCGCCGCCGCCCCGAACAAACCCATCCCGCACACATGCCCCTGATGACGTGTGCCAAAAGACGACATGCCATCCCGCAGAGGGCAGCATGCGCTACGGCAACAGAGGCCATCCTTTGACAGAGTGTACTTGGGTGATGGATGCGCCTTGTCTCCACAGAGGGTAGTACATCGTATATGTCGCTCTTTGTCCAACTTCCTCTAGTCCAGACTACTCCTGTATCCCATGTGGTGCCCGCCCTCGTCAACACATGCACACCCCTAACGTCTTGCGACCGCAAGGTTGCTTCCCGCCCGCCGCGGGTACGCTACATATGTCATTGGCATCTACACGCGCACACTAAGGTGTTCGTGGCTGGCATCGGCGTACGGGAAAAGGAATGCGGTACAGCGTGTGATCGTTGTACATTCGTGCTCGCCAGGACGCTGCTGTACTGCTTGCCGTGCGCCTAACCTACGTAATGCAGTGTGTTCCAAATATTCCTGGCCAATGGTTGCTGCACTGCGTACTGCTTGGTATCATTCTCTGTTTCAGCTTCACAACAAGGAAACTCATCACGCTCTTTGTATGCGATATGTATGAGTTTTACAGCTACAGCCCATGCCCAAAACAACGATCGTCCCTCACACACGTGGTACCCCCCCCACCGCTCTTTCCACACCGGTTAAACTTTTTCTCACTTGCGGGACGCGCTTTGAGTGCTGTTGGCCAGATCGATGTCAATTGGAGGAACCCACTCACCTTGCCGTTTGAGCCCGCGGTCTCTGGGGCCTCGACCACCTACCTCTACGGATAACTAATAAAGCGACAGGGGGATCATGCGCCGTTTACCCACGGAGAAAGACGCTCCTCCCGGTACAACCGCCTCGTCGACCCCAATCGAGCGGTGGGGTAAACGAATCAAATGGCACCGAACAATTGGCGTACGTACGCTGCGCTTGTTTTTCACCTGCCTGAACTCCCCTCCGCCCGCCCCCCACGCCATTCTCCGCGACAGGTATTAAAAGCGCGTCGTCATGATGGCCGATGGCCGGCAGCAGCAGCAGCGGCGGCAGCGGCAGCGGCGACGACCCTGCTTCCGGTCCGTTCCGGCGCACCGCATCATCGGCGGGGGCCTTGGGAGGCGGTACGACCACGCCGCCCTTCTTAGCGACCACCGTTTTGACGATGGCGTGTTCGACGACGACCAGTACAACCTTGACCGTCTGCCGTCCGATGACCATCGACGACGGCAGCGGCAGCAGCAGCAGCAGCAGCAGCAGCAGCCGCAGGAGCAGGAGCCGCTAGGACGGCTCATTGGCACAGGAGAGGCGCGGTTGGTGTCACCCCCGCTTGGAGCGGGCATGCCGCCGCCGCCCCCGCCGCCGCCGCCCCCGCCGCCGCCGCCCCCACGTTCACAGCCAGGCCAGCGTGAAGTACAGGAAGCAGCCGGAGGTTTAGGGGCAAGGCGAGGAGAACGCCCACGTCACCGCCAGCGGCACGAAGAGGAGGAGGAGGAGCCTGGAGCAGCATTAGCGCTACTACCACCACCACAGCCACCACCACCACCACCACCACTTGCAGGAGAGGTATCGGTACCAGGTGCGGAGGACACAGCCCCTCAGCCGCCGGGCGGGATTAGAGTTGAATACAGCATTAACAACAACGTTAACAATAGCCACAACAGTAGGATCCGGCCGCAGCCAGCATTGCTACCACCGCCGCCACCGGCAGGAAGGGGTGGTAGCGACACCGCCCTCGGGTTCAGGGCAAGGAGAAGGGGTGGACAAGCGCCAGCAGCAGCAGCAGCAGCAGCCGGTGGGTGGGGGGGTGCATTAGAGGCGTGCCCTCCCTGGGGCCGCTCGGGGGACTCCGCCGCCCAAGACCCACAACAGCAGCAAGGCATGCCATCGCTGACTGGGGACGGGAGCGGCCGGGTCGCGTCGCTGACGAGCCTGTGCCTTGAGGCGATGGTGGCGGCCTGGGAGTCTCACGGCGTGACCAGCGGCGGGGGCGGCGGCAGGGGGGGGGACTTGCCCGGGGCGTACCACATGCCTCACGAGCTGTGCGCGCGGCTGCTGCGGCTGCTGGTGTCGTCCAAGAAGCTCACGGCCTTCACCCTGTCAGGTAGGTTGTCCACAGGCGTCACGCGTGTGCTTCGGCAAGAAAAAAATGTTTTTCCTGCGTGTCACTCTTGTCGTTCGTTGCAGGGGGTTTGCAAGCCCGAGGTGCAGCAGCTTTGAGAGCAAGGACGTGGGGGCGCCTTTTGCCTAGCGCTTTCTGTTGTGGGACACGGGACTGGAGTGGGCAGTTCCAACACATGTGGCCGTCCTGCTTGAGCCATCTCTTCCAACATGCCATATGGGCTGACTTGACGTGAAATGTAGTTCTGGGCTGGGCGAGCTTTGCTACGTCACGGCCTCACCGGCGGGATTTTGACCCTTGTCCCAAGAACAGAGTGGCCCTAGAAAAAAGTGCAACCCCCCCCCCCTCACCTCTCGACAAGAATTACACGGAAACTGCTCACCAGCCTCACAGGTCTCACATGTCAGTGCTTCGTTCACACGCGTGTAAATTCTGCGTTCCGGAATACGCCAGACGGGGGCAAGATGAACTTCTCTCCTTGCTCTACTGCTGTCATCTTCATCATCGCCTCCCTCCCTTTTTCTTTGTTGGGGTGCTCACCCGTTCTCTCGCATGCCACGGCAGGGTTCTTGAGCCCCGCCGCCTTGGAGGTGGACCTCTCCGGCTGCTCTTACGTCCCAAAGAGCGTCTTCAAGCAGCTGGGCTTCAGCTGCCCTCGGATCGTTCACCTCAACCTCAGCATGTGCTCGCAGGTGCGCGTGCCCGCAGTTTCGGGTGGTTCTTGTGTGTCCGCGTGACGGCGAAATGAAACGGAGGGCGTTGTTGTTGGTTGATTTTATCGGTTCTGGGGAGAGCGACTTCAAAGTTGCATGAGCTCGGGATCGAGGCGTTGATGTTCTTCGGGCGGTTGTCACTGTGTTTGGTTTCACGTTGCTGACAAGTCAAAATATTCGCAAGATCGGCAGTAGGCCACTGACGATGTCGTGAAAACCTCCTCAGCATCTGCTCGACAGGGTGCGTACGTGTATCGAAGGGAAGTGCCAGAGACAGGTACGTAGCTTGTTGCGATAGTGGTTCTCTCGGCTGCTGGGTTCCCAGAGCGAAGGAAAACAACCAACACCGGCACCTACTTTTCGTTCATTTCTACTACATGAGTCGCCTCGCCAACTCCTGGCTCACACGCGCGCGTGCACGCGTGCAGGTGAATAACGCCATAGTGCGGAGCGTGCTGCAAGGCTGCTCGGCCCTTCGGCAGCTCTACCTGGACGGGTGCAGGCACGTGACGGACGCGGGTTTCCACCTCCAGCAGTCGCCTTTCTACGTCCTCCTCGGGGCCGTTTCGCTCGAGACCATCAGCGTCCAGGGCTGTCCGCAGGTTGGTGCTTGTTTGTTGTGCGGTATGCTGTTCCATTTTTTTTGTAGTGCAGTTTTCGGTTTGTACTGTTGACCAATCGTTCATCTACGTTTGTTCTCGGAGCCGCGTCCCTTCCCAAACCAGAGGGGTGTCGCAGGTTTGTTCATTGCCCTTCGCGGTTCTCTGGATTGTGGTCCGCGGTCTGCTTTTTTTTCCCGTTTTCCTTTTTGCGATCCGTTTTGCTGTTCGCGCGGTTAGCCAATCGTTTGTACATTCCCCAAAGCAGCGTTTAGGCGGGCCCACGGCAGCCTTTGGTTGCGCTACACGGTTGGAGGCTTGTGCGCTCAATGTACCGATGCTCCTCAGCCCGCTATGGGTGCGGCATACGTTTTGACATCGTCACAGCTCTCAAGGCCCAAAATTCTCGGGAGAGAAAGATGGGTGCTCCACGGCTGGGCAGAAATCGCGCCCCCCCACCCTCAAAACACGCCCACGTCCACCACGGCCTGCAACCCCCCCGCTTTATACGTGACGGGGCGAGCTTGTGCTCCACCTCCGCAAGGTGTCCCGCGATCGACCCCCAACCCCCCCCGCCGTCAAAACACGCCTTCGTCCGACACGGCCTGCGAACCCCCCACTTTTGCAGGTGACGGGCGAGCTTGTGCTTCACCTCCGCAAGGTTTGCCGCAACCTCAAGGAGCTGGACCTGGCCCGCTGCAAGAGCGTCACCACCCTCTCGGTGAGGCGGCTGTTCGACTCCTGCCCCAGCCTCGAGTCCCTCAACCTGTCGTTCCTGGAAGGAGTCGCGGATGAAGCTTTCGAGGTGAAGAGTCGCGGCGCCGTGTCTGCGTGTGCGTGGGGGGCACGAAGGTCTTGGTGGCTGTTGTGGAGTGGGTGGCTTTTCTGGTTGGGTGGGTTTGTGCTCTGAGCCGCCCCATGGCGGGGCATCATCTTGAGAGGAGCTTGAAAGGCGGGGTGGGTTAGTCGTTGTGGAGTGCGGGTGTGTCATGTTGTTTATGCCGGTGGCGCTAGCCGGCTGCGCGACGAAGGGACGTCCGTCCGTCCGTCCGTCCGCCCTATGGAAGGATAAATTGCACGAGCACCACCAGGTGCGAAAACAGGGACGGTTCTTGGCAGTTTGAAGAAGAGAGGAGGAGGTGGTGGTGCGACCATGAGGAGATTAGGTGGTACGTATGAAGACCAGGGGAGAATAGGCGGTTGGAAGACAATGGGAGGCTTACCCGTTACCTTCGCCAGCACATGCCGATTAAAGGCCTAACCCCTAACCCCCCCCCCCCCCCCCC